TGGTGCTATATAGAGCCCTTTTCAAAAAAGGTTCTATATAAAACCATATACAACACATTCTCCAGTCTGAGGAACCATTTCACCATGCAAAGAACCATTTCAGCAGGCAAAACGTTCTATAAATAATTCATGGTTCTAAACAGAACAATTGCCTTTATCAAAGAACCCCTGAAGAACCATCTTTTTTAGGAGTGCAGGGCCAAAGCTTAGATCATGGGGGTCAAACTCAACCACTAAAATATTAAAAATCTCAACAAATCTGTGGGCCAGCTGTGGTTTTATATAATTTTTACTTAACATTTCGCAATGACTCCAACTGGCCATTTTTTGTTTAAAATATGCCAAAACTACAATGGCAAAAATAGGCACTGAATACTTGAACAATTCAAAAGGAATTTTAACTAAAAACAAAATAGTTTTATATAAAACAATAGGCTACATTAGCTGCAGATAACTTTAAACCTCTTTAAGTGACCCCAATAACCCCAGTAGGGTTTTTAAAACTGCCCATTCGCTTGAACCAGAGACCTGGCATCTTTTTTTTTGTTTGTTTGTTTGTTTTTGTGGTGCTGCCCCATAGATCGTTGTTAGGGGAGGGGGTGGGAGCACACATTACATTGCAGTGTATGCTGGGAACTGTAGTGCAGCTCATGGTAAAATGGGCTAATATTAATGGAAAATTAAAAGTATTTTACTGGATTGTGCCACAGGCCTGACTTGGCCCACGGGCCTTGTGTTTGACCCATGGGGCTTAGATAGTGCCAGGTTAACATTCTGTAGGCCTAAAACACTGAAAGTTCCCCTCAAGAGGGCTCTATTAGCACTCAAACAGATTTTGCTGTATCGTTGAAGCAGAGGAAATGGGCTCCAATAATAGTAAATCTTTACTGAAGGATTCACTAATAAAGAAAAGCTAACTTGTAAGTCTTACAAGCTTCAAATGTCTGTATTTAACCCCTTAAAACCCCAGGCTTATTACATATTAAGGATTATTATTAAGTAACTACAGGGACTTCAATGCAAACTGGCTGAGCTGTTCTTAGGTTATAGAAGTGTGTAATAAAACTTTGAGGTGTGGTCATTTAAGGGGTTAAGTCACCGCTACCAGTGGTGTGAAGCTCCATATGTTAATGTACATCACTGTTAGCTTGGCACTAACGTAATTCCAAAGTCCATGTAGGAAGGTTCGTCCATATTGGCCATGCGGCCGGGCAGTTACTGAAACTGGACGCCAAATTAGCGTTTCAAAAACATATTTGAAATGAATGGTAAAATCTAAATCATAAATAGTTTGTACCGCTCTTAACATAACCAGCAAGCTGATTGGCTCTTTTTCTTGAAGGCCAGGACTTTCCCCATAAACAGACACCATGTTGAGCATAACAAGCTTTCCCATTCACTTTCCAAACAGTGACCATCTCCTCCTTTATAATGTTTCTGGGAGTTCCCATGGAGATTAGCGTTATCATAATGGTGATAAGTGGATAAACAAAGGCCAGAAAATGATGACACAACTGCATAAAGACTGGCTTGTATAAACAAGGAAATTAAGCGACAGTCTACATTACTGGAGGTTCTGTGCTGGGATTTTCTGAGTGTTAAGAGAAAAAATCTAATAAAGTTAGATAAAGTTAGAACAGAGTGCTGCACAGGTTCAGCAGATCATACATAATGCTGATGTTAATGTTAGTATTAATTAGTTACTGTGAGTAGTTACTGATTTCTATCTCAAAATGTAATGGTATTACCTAATACTCCCTGGAAAAAATCATTTCTGTACTCATTACTTTAATTTTGAGTTATTCTCTACCTCATCGTCTCACAATACAGGCCCCAGAATCACTACATGTGACTTTTAATGTAGTCGTTTTATCATCCCCCTACTATTATAACGTCTTTGTAATATGATCACTGCCCTTTTTTGTATATTGTATAACTATAATGCAATACAGTTACCACCACTCCCCCCACTCCCTCCCTCACTACAAGTTCCCACCTCGGTGACAGTTGACTGTTGGATGATTGCAGAACAGAACAGCTTATCACATGTGTTACTATGACCATTATGACTCATGCATATAACATCGCTTGCCTTATCTCTGGAATACAGTAGGGCGTCATGTAGTAACGCTGGTCCAGAACTAGACTTTCTGTACAGATCTCCCAGATAAGGATTCATTTTGTGGCTGTAAGTGATCACTTTTTTTGTGGAGGTACACTGAAAAAAGATGGTTCTACAAGGGTTCTTTAGAAAAGGCAATGCTACTATAAAGAACCATGAACACTTGCATGCTCAAATGGTTCTTCAGATTTATGGAGAATGTCCATATAGCACGAAAAAGGGCTCTGCTCTTGTGACAATGTCAAGCTTGTAACATTAGAAGAACCCTTTTTGGTGCAATATAGAACCATTTGCAAAAATATACAACACCTTCTCCATCAATCTGGAGAACAATTTCATCATGCACAGAACCCTTTAAGCATGCAAATGTTTCTTTGAGTGTTCATGGTTCTATATAGAACCAAGGCTATTATTAAAGAACCCTTTAAGGACCGTCTATATTAAGAGTGGTAGTAGCAGTTGTAGTAGCAGTTATTAATAAAGCATATTTGAAGGAAAAGTATGTGTGCTGTTTTTGGCTCAGTAAAACAGCCTTTTTTCCTCATTCCTTCCTGTGTTATGCAGTGAATTAGAACATCACAATAATAAAGTCGGAAAACACAGTAAGGTTTTGGTATGAGATATTATGTACTTTTTATTATGTAGTTCCAAAAAAGCCTTAAAAACATGCTTAAATTCTTATTGTTTCAGCCACGCTATTGAGACTGCACCCGGCTGAGACTTAAGGGTCGTTTCATGGTCAAGTACTCAGTCAGAATCAATTGTCAGATTGTCACTATGGTACATTTCACTTACCAGCACATATGGAATCAGCAAATAAGCTATAATTAATTTATTGATTTATTGTTTCTTTATTTAATGACATAGGAAAGCCCAACTGAGACCAGTAGGCCAGCATAACAACCACAAAAATGATCAACAGTGCATCAGTAATACAGCCTGAATATCAATACAGACATACTGTACATGAAACAGAACATACTCATAAAATAGAAAAAAAAACAAAAAAACACAATACAATGTCTGCAAACACTGCACTTTTTACAAACAGCATGTTCATAAGGTGTTGTGGAACTGTTAAAGTTCGGCTACAGTCTAGTGCAAAAAATAGTGATATTATGAGGTGATTTATAAATGTGCTCCACCCAGCAGGGACACAGGAAATGGGGGCTGATTGGGCTGATTTCCATCAGATTTCAGGCAAGTGCTAAAAACAATAAGAGAAAAATAACAAAAGAACAGAAGTTTTAAATATTTGGAGTGTTGCGAAGATCCATGGGTGGAGTTCGTATTTTATCTTGTTTTATTAACATGTATTTAAAATCTGCAGCAACCAAAGACTGTAAAAGTTCCCAATGCATTTTATAGCGAAGTGAGTCGCTTCCCTCACCGGCTGTCACTAAAACACAAGCAGGAGGTGTGGAGTAGTTCTGTGGCCTAAATCGGCCTAATATTGTTTCAAAAGCTTTTCCTTTTTAACCAGCTTCATCATCTCCGTTTTTTTCAACCATCGTAATAATCTCCTGCTAGTGTAGCTTGATTATGGCGAAACAAGCGTTTCTTGCTTCACATTGGTAATCTGATTGGTTGATGCTCAGCTCATTTTATACATTTGTCTAGATAGAGAGAGCAGAGACAGCTGTGGTTACTCTGTCGGTTATATGTGTACAAATATATCAGCCCCACCCAGCCGGTTTTACCCACCCACACCCACCCGGTCAATTTTACCCCACACCCACCCGGTCAATTTTACCCACCCGGCCGATTTTACCCACCCAGCCAATTTTACCCATCCAATTTTACCCACCCGGCCAATTTTACCCACCTGGTCAATTTTAAAAGCCCAACCAACTCCACCCGCCCAATTTTACCCACCCGGGCAATTTTACCCACCCAATCCCACCCGGGCAATTTTACCCACCCGGGCAATTTTACCCACCCAGGCAATTTTACCCACCCAATCCCACCCGGTCGATTTTACCCACCCAATCCCACCTGGCCAATTTTACCCACCCAATCACACCCGGCCAATTTTACTCACCTGGCCAATTTTACTCACCCGGCCAATTTTACCCACCCAATCCCACCCGGCCAATTTTACTCACCCGGCCAATTTTACCCACCCAATCCCGCCCGGCCAATTTTTCCCACTCGGCCAATTTTTCCCACTCAACCCCACCCAGCCTTCCCCACTTGGCCCCTGTGCACATAATGACCACAGACTGGGTAAAAGAAACTACATAAACTTCATTAAGTACAGGTAATTCAAACTTCATCCTGTTACTACTGGCTCAGACCAAGTACCTCATTTGTGATACTTGCATATGCATATAAAATGCTAATACTTCTCTTTCACACAATGTTGTATTGGTCACCATGATTACAAACATTTTAGGAAGCTATTTAAAATTATGTGCATGTCCACCTCAGGGTCCAGACCTGGATTGTGGATTGTAAGAAGCAGAAAGTGCAACCAACTTCTAAGACTGAACTTTTGGAAAAATATAGAAAGTTTCTTGATAAGACTTATAAACGTATACTTAAAAACTTATACTTAATAGCATTTTTGACTGGCAATTAAATAAATGAATGGTGGTCTCTGCTCTACACAGCTCTGTTCTTTAACCGTTAGCCTACGTTAGAGTACCAACTCGGCTGAAACATATCAACAGCAAATAAACAAAATATCTAATACTTAATATACATTTGTAACCCATGAGCAATGCAGCAAGAAGCTTGACTCATTAGTGCTTGAACTAAGATGGCATTAGCTTATGTTCCTTTCCATCTGAATTATTCTGTGAACCAATAAAACCACTGATGAAATTATGAAGAAATTGGTGAACCTGTAATAAGCATATCAGCCCCACTCTTGCGATTACATGTCTAATGCTTCGCCCAGGTTAAAATCACTGGAGTTTTTTTTGGTTCTCCTCAGGTATCGCAGTAGCAAAGCTGCAGCGGTCAGCAGGGACACGGAACCCACGGCAGGAACAAGGGTTTTTGTCAGGATGGGCGTGACAGTCTGTTGCTCTGAAGGAAAAAAAAATACACGTTTTAATAGAAACACTAACCCAGAATCCAAGTATACGCACAAACCACGAAGAAATGCAGGACAGTCTTTAGAGTGGAATAACGTAAGATGCTCCATTCTGAGTCAGCATTGTTCAAAATGGTGGTGATAGGAACCAGACATCTTAAAGGGAAACTCTGTTATTTTCTGCATAGTTAAATGGTTTACATGTCCACAAAGTCATTCAGAGTGGTTTGGTACAAAATGTTCTATTCAAGAGAAACTTACTAAGTCAGAATTGTTCACAGTGATTGTGATAGGAACCAGACGTCTGAGGAGTTTAATGCCTCTAAAAGCTCCCTCACAGAAAGTTAATCATTATGAATAGTGTATATATATATATATATATATATATATATATATATATATATATAATATGTAGATATTGTGATGCTTGGTTCCTATCACCACCACTGTAAATTCGGTAAGTTTCTCTACAATTAACCATTTCACGTCAAACCTCTTGACATCTCAACCATTAAATTATGTGGAATCTTCAAAAAATCAGTGAAACCATTTAATTTATGTTTTGTAGGGGTGTTCTTGACTTTCTTGGTCCACCAAAATCCTGATTTTTGACTAAATATCAATAAATTACTGTATAAAGCACTTTCCCATAAAATAGCACTGTAATGGAAAATACTGAATTATAGGAACAAAATAGCTGGATGCTTCAATCTCCAAAGTAAATGTATTGATAAAGAAATACATAATTAAATGCAAATATTTGGGCACCCCTAACCAAATGACATATTTTGTTGAATTTACTGGTTAGGCTTGTCATGAGGAATCGTCATCTGATGATAGTTCCAAAGAGTAATCAATTCTCTGACTCTTTAAATCTTGTGCAAATGCTCAACAACCATGGACTCCTCTAGATCTGAAAAAGAAGCTAATTGATGCCTACAAAGCAAGGGAAGATAAAACGATATCAAAGCACTTCCAGCTCCACTGCAATTTTCTCTGTTTGAAACATCATTAAGGCATCAAGGCAACAGCTGGAAGTCTCCTATAGAACTGCTCATATGCTGGACAGAAAGGCAAAGCAAAACCCCCACATGACAGGAAAGGACCTGTAGGAAGGTTTAGCTGACACAGGAGTGGTGGCACGAACAAGATCTGCATGGGAGTGTCATCAGAAGTCAACTTTAACATACAGACAAGCTGGAGGCATTTTGGAAACAAGTGCTGTGGACTGATGAAGGTAAACTGGAACTCTTTAGCCACAATAACCAAAGGTATGTTTGGAGAAAAAAGGGGCAGCATTTGATGAAAAGAACACCTTGTCAGCTCTTATGCAGGGAACTCGATTTATTATTCTTTGGGGTTGTGTGGCAACCAGAGGCATGGGAAACATTTCACCTGTAGTTGGAAGGATGGACTCCACTAAATTTCGACAAATTCTGAAAGCAAATGTGATGGTCAGTCAAGAAACTGAAGCTGAAAATAAGCTTTTTTCTACAACAGGACAATGATCCAAACCAACCCTCAGAATCCACCATGAACTACTTCAAGAAATTATCCTAAGATCTTATATATACCATGGTCTTAGATTTAAAATAAACTGTGCCTGCAAGATGGCCCAAGAATATCACAGAACTAGGAGCAGTCTGCAAAAAACAGTGGGTGAAAATTCCTAAAACAAGAACTGAAAGACTATAACAAAATATGTAATTTGGCCAGTGTTTTGTATACAACTGTAAATGTAATTACGCAGCAGAATCATAGTTGACCAAGAGGTTTTGTCAAATCATATTCTCGAAGAAAACCTCTCAAAATGCTGATTTTCTTTCTTTTTTGTTCATTATTTACCTTTAACAATGAGTTCAAAGGTCTGGACTTCGTAACCCAGTTCATTCGTGAAGTTGACCCTGTAGGTTCCCTTGTCCTCTGATTTGAGGTTGAACAGGTGGAAGGTGCCGTTTGGAGATCGGAACTCAAAGCCATCAGCTTCTCTTGTCAGAATGATGGTGGCTGGAGGGAAACTCACAGTGCTGCAGTGGACTGTGATGTTCTGAGCTTCCATCACCTCAGCAGATGGGTACACCAGCACTGTGGAATTCCTGGGAGAAGCTTTGAGAACACAACAAATAACATATTTAAGCTGATGGTATGTGCTTTAAATGACATGGGGGGTGGGGGAGAGTAGATTGATATGAAAGCTGCAAAACCTACCTTGAACTGTGATGTTGATGCTGCTTCTCATGCTGCCAAATTCATTTTTTGCCTCACAGAAGTAAAGCCCAGAATGCTTCAGCTGAATTGAGGGAATGTTTATGGATACAGAAGAACTTTGTTTCTCCACCTGATTCAGTGAAGCTCCAGATATTGTCAGCTGTACTGGAGGGTCGCTGTCTGCATCACAGGTTATGGTAACATAGTCTCCTGCTCTTGGGTTGCCTGCATGGCTATGTCTGAGCGTGGGGACGTTTGGAAGACCTGAAAGAAACAGACTTGCGGGTGGTAACTGATATAAAACAATGGTGACCTGGGTGCTCATGGCATATTCTGTCATGCCTGCATAACCTGATATGTTACATCGACTCAAAGTCAGACTCCTGCCAAAAAATAAAAGCTCATAAAAGGAAGCCTGCTGCTTTGGAGATGTTACACAGTTTGGTAGCATTTTGTGTTGGAGAGACCTAGCTAGTGAGTGGAATTGGCATTACCTTGAACAGTTACACCCACTGTGGACCGCCGACTGGCCAGTTCAGTGCTCGCCTCACACTCATACACGCCCGCATCGGACCGGGTGACATTTTCAATCACAGCCACTTTGTCTCTGCTTAACAGGGTCACCTCACTCTTTCCTAACTTCCTCCACAAAATGTTTGATTTCCCATCTGCATCACATCTCAGCTCCAAATGCTCTCCAACCTTCACAGTAGTGTTACCGGAGGTGGTGATGAATGCTGGACCATCTGCAAGTAACAAATGCACAGAGGCCTAATTGTATTACACTTGTAGTGCTGTCCTTACCAATGCCAAGTATATCCTTATTTTTTCATTGTTGATGTACAAAAATGGATTCTATTAAGTGTATTTTCATTTTTCACACTTTAAGCTTCCCCTGAGCTCCCTTTGAAAGGAGGAAAAGCTTGTTGGTAAAAGTATATTGCATTAAATAAATACTAGTGTGTATTTAACTGTTCTGGTGGAAGCGAGAATGGCAGTGTGACATGTCTGTTTAAAATATAATTAAAATACAGCGAGGGGAAACAAGTATTCAGCAACCCAAATGTTAACAAGAGCCATTTTGTCCTTTCAACAAAAACCAACCACCTTGGGAGCCACATTTTATGTCCATTTTAACATCTTTTCTGTAAATATGTCTCAGTATGTGCTGATGTGCTAGTACAGGCTAAAAAATATAAACGAAAACCCAGACTTACTTTGCTCTGCTTTAAGCTTCAGCTCAGCTATAGCTTTTCTCGCATCTCTGGCAGGAAACTTTTACATAAAAGTAGAACAGTTTCTTGTAAAATGTCTCTCAACGTTTGACTTTTTACGAGGCTAAAGTCAGCTTTTCATTCGCCAGCTTCTTGTTTGAATTTTCCTGTTCCACCTTAAATGGGGCGTGAGACGATTGTAACTGCTGAACCATTTAAGGTGAAACGAGAAAATTCAAACAAGAAACTGACTTAATCTTCGCGACTTTGTAGTATTTGACAGTTTCTCGTTCCAGATTAAACGTATCAGGAAACCAGCTGGAGTGATTATAAATGCAAATGAGTCCATTCATCTCCATATTATTGAAGTTCGTCTTAAATCTTTCTCTGCCTTTTCATTAGGTACTAGATAGGCAAGACTGTTGTCTGCGTTGCTATGGTGACCAGAGGTTTGCACGCCAGTCTTCAGGGTTAAAGGGTGAATTAGCAGTTCTACATTAACTCCAGTGTTTAAGATCATTTATTGTTAAACTGTGTTGAACGATCAGCAGAGCTTTATTTTACCGTAAAGGAGGATTATTTTATTTTTACCTACAAATCTAATTCAGCTGTGAAGCCACAACAGGGCAGTAAAAGAGCCGCATGCGGCTCCGGAGCCACATGTTGCCGACCTCTGAGCTAGGCTATGTAAACATCTGCACCTTCTGTTTTTAGAAACCAGCTTTAAGTGATTTTGGCTGTATGTTTGGGGTCATTGTCTCACTGAAATGTCAATGTTCCCAGATTCAGTTTCTTGGCCGACAACATTAAATTGTCTTCTAACGCCCTGATACATCACTACATTGATGTTTCCATGATGTGTAATGCTCCAGTACTGTTTGCAGGGAAGCAGCCCCATATCGTAATGCTCCCACCTTCATACTTCACTGTGGGTGTGGTGTTCTTGAGATCATACCTGTATAATACACTTCCACCAACAAGCTGTCCCTCTGACAGTGTTAATGTAGTGTTAATTAGACACATGTAGGGGTCACCCAAGTACATATTTAAACATAATAGGCCAGTGTCCCAGACCCAGATTTAGCCTAAGTCTAACAAAAAGAAATAGCAATGGTAATTCTACACTAACACTGAAATTTAGTCCAAGATTAGGCTTAATCGTTAATACATATAAAACATATGTTTTTAAATGACATCATTTTATATAATTTTTGACAAATCTAACAACCAAAAGCAAACAAAATATGCTGTTAAAATAATCCTTTTTAAAATGTTTGAGCAGCACTTACACTGAGCTGTGACTGAACGGATGTTTTGGCCCTCCGGTATCCCACTCAGACTCAGTGTGCCTCTACAGGTGATGTTCTTCCCCAAGTACTCCTCACTCAGTGTGTACTCAGAGGAGACGTCTTGGACTCCATTACTGAAGTAAAATGTGCTTTCTCCCCCTGGAAGGACAGTATCCCCATGCAGCCAGTGCAGCTCAAACATTTCTGAGGAGTACACACTGCGAACCGTGCACATGAGCGTCAAGTCGTTCTTGCGGGATATCACAGGGTCGCTAGGAAACGCTGAAAGAGAGAAACACTATTGATCATTACTGAAAGCAGAACGTCACCAACTGTCTCCATCCTGGCCAGTTCAGTTGCTGCCCTTACCCGTGTCCTTCCTACCAAAATTCACCTTTATAGCTCGTGTTTTTTTTTCGTTATCACAACTTGCTGCATGAAGCTAGCCAGCTAACAGCTATTTACTCAACAGATCGAGCACTTTAAGTTTAATGACCAGACATATTTTTATTTTTTTTTCTATTTTTCCTCTTTGAAATAAATGTGAAGGGCACAAAAGTAACACCTTAAAGAAATAGTTTGGCAAAACTTCTAATTTAAATGAGTTTTCAGACCAAATCCTGTCGATCAGTCTAGACATTTTTGAGTGTACAATGTTAGCTGCTAGGCTAACATTGCTAACACTGGAAGTCAATAGCCACCCAAACAGTTTCTGTGAATACATGTCAAAATCTTCATATATTTTCTTAAAATTTTGTCGATAAGCTACATAACTGACGTGGCTTCCAGTGTTAGCAATGTTAGCCTAGAAGCCCCAATTGTAATCTAAAGAAGCAAAATTCGGACATCAAACATTGGCTGATCAACAACGTTTGGGATAAGAGGGAAATCAAGTAAATTTTTCACCAAAATGAATTAAACTATTCCGTTAATTCAGCCTCTTAATGGTGCATATATAGAGTACTCTGCCATTTAGACCTCTGTAAAAACAAGTCATTTTCTGATTTTATGGTACATACAATGAGAAGTGCTGTATATAAAATATTAAGTGACCTTAAACCTTAATTATGTTTATTTCATCAAAATAAATGACTAAACATTCCATTTTATCACTACCGAAACTTCACCAAATGTTTCAGTAGTGACTCTTTCGGTAGTGACAATTTTAGCTAACTTTGAGCAGAACTCAAAAATGCTGGCCAGTACATGACTAGCAAACACAGCTTTGAACAGCTGTACAGACATAAAATTAGAATATTTTTTATTAAAACACAAAAATATTTACTTAATTCGGAAATGAAAATGTTCGACAATTCTTAATGATATACACTGATTTTTAGACTTTGGGACACACTTCTTTCAAAATTATGCTAACTGTTCACCATGTGGCCATGAGGGACAGGGATACAGTCTCACCTCCTGCTCTTAAAAGCAGGGGTGTAGCTAAATATAGGCTCTGCCTATGGACTAAAACTGTGTTTCGGTAGTGACAGCATTTTTTTAATAACTTTTTTTATAACAATTAAACTCACAATGAATCTAAATCTTTCTAAACTTCACTTTAAAAGAAATCAAAAACATCTTCATTTTAAAAACATTTAAAAAGTATCATTTTCAGTGTAAGTGTAAATTAAGGGGTTGGGGTTTGGAACAGACAATAGAAAGCACCCTATAAATAAGGATTTTGTATATATTTAGTTTATTACTATCTCCATTAAAACCTTAACTAAATAGATCATAACATAATCCTTGTAAATATCTAAGGCATCCTTCATAGTTTTTTTATTATTATATTTTTTTACTGTGGTACTGCAGTTTAAACTGATGTGTGCTTAAATTTAGGGCTGTATGTTGTACCAAGCCTGACACTGAAAGTGCTTTGTTTACTTACAGTAGACTTGTATTTTTGTCTTCCTTTGTTCTTTTATTCCTCCACAATCCACGTGGCATACAACTGTTTTCTCATCATCTATCGTTAAGTGGCTATACGTCTTGCGTGAGGTCATCTGGTTGCTCTTCATTGCTCCACCAATTGTGATGTCCCCTAGAGTCTTCCACGTGAACTTGGCTTCACTTGGACAGTCCAGCGCTGTGCACACGAGCTCCAAACTCTCGCTCACGTGTTTCACCACCGCTTTAGGCTCTAGCTGAGCTCTGAACTTACCAGCACCTGTGCAACGGTATGCATCAGTATGCATATGAAGTGCATATATAACTGCTTTTAGCTGCAAACCCTCATTGAAGGGTAAAGAAGTAAACATAAAGATGCCTACCTGCTATTAGATGCAGTGTCATCATCCATAAGGCAAAAGTGAGCTGATTTTCTCCATTCATTTTTCTGTCACAAATCTGTATGTAATTCAATCTGAAATTAAATCATAGTCCATGTGGCTCCTGTTGATGAATGGACTGTACTGAGCTGGGATGGACTTTATAAATTTAAGAGGACAGGAACTGGAGGCAGGCCGATCAAGATAGTGGACCACAATTGCCACACCCCCAAGCCCCTTTTAGCCACACGCATACCCACACAGCTTCACAAACTGGGCCAAGTCTCGATCATAGCCAAGAAACACAGAGGGAAGGAATCAATTCAGTTCAATTGTAAAAATCATGAAGGCGTTAAAAAAATAATCACTGGCCTTGAGTCGTTACATTTGATTGCCATTACCTGTAAGTTAAAACCCACTGTACTTGATTACATTACATCAGTTCACACATCCCTTTTTTCCCCATTTTCTCATTGATCAAGAGAGTGAAAAATACGTTAGAATCTATTGATTATCCCTTATGACAGTCTGTTTTTAATGGTGACTGAGATGTTAAAATATATGTTTTGTACATGAAATGGGTGAAAAATAAGGTTATGGTAACAGCTTGTATACTAGATCCTATTCCTACAGGTTTACTTAAAGACGTTTTGCCAGAAATAACCAAGCCTTTTCTATCTATAATAAACTCTTCTCTCAGCCTCGGGTGTGTTCCAAAATCTCTTAAATTAGGTGTAATTAAACCCCTAATTAAGAAACCTAGTCTTGACCCCTCTGAGCTATCAAACTATAGACCTATTTCAAATCTTCCCTTTTTATCAAAAATCTTAGAGAAAGCCGTGGCAAAACAATCATGTTCCCATCTGCATAGGAGTAATATATATGAAAAATTTCAGTCCGGCTTCAGGCCTCACCATAGTACCGAAACAGCGTTAGTGAAAATTGTAAATGATCTTTTATTATCCGCTGACAAAGGAAACGTATCCTTACTGGTTTTACTTGATCTTAGTGCAGCTTTTGACACAATAGACCATTCCATTCTATTAGACAGGCTTGAGAAACTAGTAGGAGTGACAGGTAGAGCTCTTTCGTGGTTCAAATCTTACCTTAGTGATCGCTTTGAGTTTGTTAATGTAAATGGTGAACCATCAGCTCTCACAAGAGTAAAGTATGGTGTTCCACAGGGCTCTGTCTTAGGACCCATATTATTTACCTTATATATGCTACCACTAGGTACCATCATTAGAAAACATGGCATCAGTTTCCACTGCTATGCCGATGATACACAATTATATATTTCAGCTAAACCAGAGGACAAAACTGAACTTAATAAGATAGAGGACTGTGTAAAAGACATTAAAGACCGGATGCCAAGTAACTTCCTCTTACTAAGTTCGGAAAAAACAGAAGTTCTTCTTCTGGGTCCCAAAAGCTGTTAGGGATAATCTGCCTACGTTTACTCTTAATCTCGATAGTTTCTCAATTGCACCAGCCACATCTGTAAAAAGCCTTGGTGTCACGATTGATCCCAGTCTGGCCTTCGATGAGCATAATACCAATATTACCAGAATAGCTTTCCTCCACCTGCGTAACATCGCTAAATTAAGAAATGCACTGTCGCTACAGGATGCAGAAACGTTAGTTCACGCCTTCATCACGTCCAGGTTAGATTACTGTAACGCTCTGCTTTCTGGTTGTTCCAGCCAAAACATTAACAAGCTTCAGTTAGTCCAGAACGCTGCAGCCAGAGTTCTCAGCAAAACCAGGAAATCTGACCACATTAGCCCAACACTGGTTGCCAGTTAAATTCCGCATTGAGTACAAAATTCTTCTACTGACATATAAAGCTTTGAATGGCCTTGCTCCTCAGTACCTCAGTGTACTTTCCTTTTCCTATTATCAACCGACACGCCCACTTAGATCACAAGGTGCTGCTCATTATTAGTACCCAGAATAAATAAAGTTACGTCAGGGGGAGGAGCCTTTTCATACAAAGCCCCCCAGCTTTGGAATAACCTACCAGTCTGTGTTCGGGACTCAGACACAGCCTCCATCTTTAAGTCTAGGCTAAAAACTTACCTGTTTAGTCGAGCCTTTGGTTAATTAGTTTTCCTAACTATGTCCCTCTTATCCCCCCATCCCCCCTCTTTCCCTCTCCCCCTCTTTTTCCCTGAGCTGAGCGGCTGCCTGTCCTAAGAGGGTCTGACGTGACTGATGCGGCCGGCGCACTGCACAGTGGTGTAAAACTGTATCCACTTATGCTGTTCTGTGTCTGTGCTGTTATTTGGTGTCGACCAGAGGAGGATGGGTTCCCCTATTTGAGTCTGGTTCCTCTCAAGGTTTCTTCCTCCTGTTGAGGGAGTTTTTCCTTGCCACTGTCGCCAAGGCTTGCTCACTGGGGGCGTGGACCCGGATTCTCTGTAAAGCTGCTTTGTGACAACATCTGTTGTAAAAGGCGCTATATAAATAAATTTGACTTGACTTGACTTGGTCCAAACTAAGTCTGTGTGTGTGTGTGTGTGTAGGCCAAAGTACCCAAACAATGGACAAATAACCCTATCATAGTTAGAATTTATGTTCAGGCCTGGTTGAAACATGTAGCATTCCAGGACAAGGCCTGAGCACACAGAGGCCTATACTCACGCACAGAGGCCTACACTCACACACAGGGGCCTACACTCACACACAGGGGCCTACATTCACACACAGAGGCCTACACTCACAGACAAAGACCTACACTCACGCACAGAGGCCTACACTCACACACAGAGGCCCACACTCACACACAGAGGCCTACACTCACGCACAGAGGCCTACACTCACACACAGAGGCCCACACTCACACACAGAGGCCTACACTCACGCACAGAGGCCTACACTCACACACAGAGGCCTACACTCACACACAGAGGCCTACACTCATCCATAGAAGCCTACAGAGGCCTACACTCACGCACAGAGGCCTACACTCATCCATAGAAGCCTACAGAGGCCTACACTCACGCACAGAGGCCTACACTCACGCACAGAGGCCTACACTCACACACAGAGGCCTACAGAGGCCTACACTCACGCACAGAGGCCTACACTCACGCACAGAGGCCTACACTCACGCACAGAGGCCGACACTCACGCACAGAGGCCTACACTCACGCACAGAGGCCGACACTCACGCACAGAGGCCGACACTCACGCACAGAGGCCTACACTCACGCACAGAGGCCTACACTCACGCACAGAGGCCGACACTCACGCACAGAGGCCTACACTCACGCACAGAGGCCTACACTCACGCACAGAGGCCGACACTCACGCACAGAGGCCTACACTCACGCACAGAGGCCTACACTCACGCACAGAGGCCTACACTCATACACAGAGGCCTACACTCACACACAGAGGCCTACACTCACGCACAGAGGCCTACACTCATACACAGAGGCCTACACTCACACACAGAGGCCTACACTCATACACAGAGGCCTACACTCACACACAGAGGCCTACACTCACGCACAGAGGCCTACACTCATACACAGAGGCCTACACTCACACACAGAGGCCTACACTCACACACAGAGGCCTACACTCATCCATAGAAGCCTACAGAGGCCTACACTCACGCACAGAGGCCTACACTCATCCATAGAAGCCTACAGAGGCCTACACTCACGCACAGAGGCCTACACTCACGCACAGAGGCCTACACTCACGCACAGAGGCCTACAGAGGCCTACACTCACGCACAGAGGCCTACACTCACGCACAGAGGCCGACACTCACGCACAGAGGCCGACACTCACGCACAGAGGCCTACACTCACGCACAGAGGCCGACACTCACGCACAGAGGCCTACACTCATACACAGAGGCCTACACTCACACACAGAGGCCTACACTCATACACAGAGGCCTACACTCACACACAGAGGCCAGCACTCATACATAGAGGTCTACACTCACACACAGAGGCCGACACTCACGCACAGAGGCCTACACTCACACACAGAGGCCTACACTCATACACAGAGGCCTACACTCACACACAGAGGCCTACACTCATACACAGAGGCCTACACTCATACACAGAGGCCTACACTCATACACAGAGGCCTACACTCACACACAGAGGCCAGCACTCATACATAGAGGCCTACACTCACACACAGAGGCCTACACTCATACACAGAGGCCGACACTCACACACAGAGGCCAGCACTCATACATAGAGGCCTACACTCACACACAGTGGCCTACACTCACACACAGAGGCCTACAGAGGCCTACACTCACACACAGAGGCCTACACTCACACATAGAAGCCTACAGAGGCCTACACTCACACACAGAGGCCAGCACTCACACACAGAGGCCAGCACTCGTATATAGAGGCCCACACACACACACAGAGGCCTACGCTCACACACAGAGGCCTACGCTCACACACAGAGGCCTACACTCACACAGAAAGAGAGAACCAACACAGCATTGTGTAATTAACAATAAAATCAAATCAACCATTAATGTGGTTACAACTGATGTGTTTCTCCTCCAAAAGGCATTCTTACTAGTATAGTATAAACAGGATCTCCGTGTGCGTGTGTGCCTCCATGTCCCAGCCCTTAAGACAATCAGGCCTGCTTGGCACACACCACATAGTCAGGGTCACACAGACACACACACAGGTAGAGCTGCATACAGCATAATATGATTAGTTATGATTAAAATTATTAAAATTATTTATTGAAAAATCTTTTCCCTTCTTTTCAAAATTCTAGAATTTTATAAAAAACGTTATGGTCCAAACTAAGTCTCTGTGTGTCAGCAATTCACTGTTTAGCCACCAGAGGTCTCACTCTCCAGGGTACTAGCCTTGTTCTCAAATCAAACCACCTGTACCTCATTGCCTAATTAGTCACACCTTAAATACTCCTCCTAAGCAGCCAGTCAGTGTGAAGTATTGCCAGTTCACTTGTGTCTGACTACTGAGTGTTTGTTTGGTCTGTTTTGCTGGTATTTTGAACCTCTGCTTGATTTTGGATTCTGTTTTTGCCTTTTGCCCCTTTGTGCTCTGTCTGCCTGGCTTTTTGGACTGATTTCACTGGTACAACCCATTTTTTTTTTGCTTAGCCTTTTGACATCGAGTTTTGGACTGGGCCTTTTGTCATTAAATCTGCATATGGATCCTTCTCAAGTTTTCGTCACACAGTGTATGTAGGC